TGAACCAGGGCTTGAGTGAAGTTATTCCTRTAGGATAATTACGATCTGTTGTGGCTCTGAAGAGCAACACATGCCTGTTTGTGCACAAGCTCTGGTTCTCCTCAACATCAACAAATACAAACGTGTATCTTTTGTAATAAAAGTTGCCTTGGATTTTGTAATTCATTTAGCCTTTTCTGAGTTACATAGATGGAATTTTTGACGTTGCTTCTTTGATACTCCTCTGCTTTGCAGTGGCAGCTATCRGCTGTTTTACTTTTTCCTCCTTCGGGTGGAAACATGAACACAACTTGCCAATAGTGTGTCTCTTGTCAACATCATTTCTCCTTATAAAGTAACTTCACAGAAGCCGAAAAACTTCCAAAGATGGGCTTGCAACGCAGAAGGTGCCGATACATACAGACAACCTTCTTCTTCTTCTTCTGTTGTTTTCATGTCATAATCGGTCCGGTCGCTACACGTCCACACTTCAGGGTGTTTTGGTTTGTTCTCCTTACAATGCAACGTTACTTACAACATTAAACTTGAAATGGTTTTTATAAGTGTTATATTAGATGAAATAACATTTTAGAGCAACTTWAGAATTTGAAAAGTCAAGTTCCAAAAGGTTTCAGACTTTGAACAAGAGGGGGTGTTTATGTGACACATTTTTATTCCGATTGGTTGTTTATTCCAGCTACTTATGTCAATGTAAACTACGGGTGCAATGCTACAGAAAATTCACAATTCGGTTCGGTTCAATATTTTAGTCTTACGGTTCGATATTTTTTCGATACAAAAAAAAAGAAATGTCCGCGCCCTTTTTAACTTGTATTAATTTAAATTAAGTATGAACATTTGTTTAACCTCAAAAGTACAGTTTTTAAATTAAATGTTGCTGAAACAGCAAGTTTCTCAGTGGATCTGCACTCAAAAATGCAGCCTAGGTGGAGTAGTCGAACACGGATCCACCGATCCTTTAACACAGAGCATCTTCAGAAGACAAGCTGATAAAAAAAATCTGTATTTTTCGATAAAAGTGTGTATTGAACCTAAAGCACTGTATTGAACGGTTCGATATGGGTACATGTATTGATGCACCCCTAATGTAAACATAGCTAATGATGAGCACCAGTTGGATCCATGGCAGCCTTTGAGTTCACATCTGTGTCCGAGGTCCGCGTGTTTTCTCTCTGCCTGGTGATGAAGTGTCTGTATTGACCAGTTTAGGGATGAGCTGAGTGGAAGATGATTGTCTCCGGTGTGCACCCGAGTGATAAGAGAACAGCTCATGTCCTTCTTAGCCATCARGCCCGGGAGCCTTAATATAACCTCCATTCCGTTCCTTCCAGGCACCCGTCCTTTCCAGTTAACCCTGGCCTTAGGAGCTCCTTAGGGAGCTGTGACTCAGGTGACTGGGTTTTAAACTGCCTCCCCAACCCCCTCTCCATCTTCATGGTTTGAGTATGACCTTGCCGCCACCCACAGAAAAGGGAGGAGGAGGAGCTGAGGGAGGGCAGAGGTGGGTGGGGATAGAGCTAAGCCCTCATTAGCCCAAGCTGAGGCGGGACAGCTCAAGAAAAGTGCGCTAATTACCCGGCTAACAGTGTCCTTGCCGTTCATGGCTTAGAGGAGCCACTTCGCCATGGGATAATAACCCTGTCACCTCTCTGAGAAGTTCAGGATGGCATTATCATGATCACTTTAAATGATGGACGCAGGGTGGTGTTTTAATGCAGCTAGCTGACTGATTGTTTTGGCTGCAGCTTCCCAGACAGGTGGACTTCACTAATGTGGGTTCCGTGTTTTTTTTGCAGATGAAACATACGCGTCATTAAATGGACTTTAACAAACCTTTTTTTTTAGTATCGTATTTTATTTTTGAAGAAAAACATCGGGCTCACACAGGCGCACACAGCTACTAATTTTAACAAGTTACACCCTTAAAAAGAAGCCTGTAATTAGTCAAAAAGTTTGAAGTCRAAGTCCAATCAAGCGTCTCCTTGCCTAGCAACCAGTGGGCTCTGTTTTGTCTGGGTCTGTTTCTGAGTCACTGCTTCTCTGTGACTGAGAGGTGACTGGTGAGGCCAACGTGATGCCCTCAGTGCTACCCTGCAGCTTTTCTGTTAGTGTGTGGAAAACATCTTGGCGACCAGCAGCCTGACATTACAGCGGGAGCCTGTAATCATGGGACTGTAAAAACCCAAAACCAGCGGCCGCAAACAGTGTGGCCTCGTCACGGTGGTGGCAGCTAAGAACCATTTACAGCTCCTGTCCCATAAACTGTGCTTGCCGTATCACACCAGACCTCCTTCATAGATGATTGTGGTTTTAATAAAGATGTCAGTTAAACGTATAAATGAGATTCCTGCTTGTATGACAGGATGCCAATATAATCACACTTGCATGTCTGAAAAGCTGCATATTTTTAGATTTGTTATTTAAACCAAATAGTGGTGACAATGAACATTAATGGGCTGTGGGACATTCTCCCATGTAACAATCTAAAAAAACCAATAAAAGCATGTCTGATTTAAATAAAAATGATAAATACTGAGATTAAGTTTGTAATTTTTTTTCTCATAAATTTTTTGTAAATCAAAGACAAAAGTAACTTGATTAAAAAAATACACAGAACAATATAATACACATAATGCTTAGAACAAAAAGTAAAGAAATGTGTTTTTAGTAGATTATTTCTTTGTTGTAACAATACTACTTGGCAATAAATCTTACACAGGGCACCTGATTGACTAGCCTGGCCCTTGCCTTCCTACGCAGCTCCGCTCAATTCTAGTTTCCCTTCACTGCTCCGTCTGGGACTTCTCCCATTGACAAGGATTTCGCTGGCAGATTTTTAGCCGGGTCAATCAGAGAAGAGAACGTCATTTTTCTGCACAGTGTCTGCTTGTAGTTTATTTTACCTGGACCAATCAGCAAACAGAAGGTGGAGTTTTGAATGACGTTGACTTTCTGCGCAGTGTCCGCTAGTTATTTTAGCATACGGCAGTGGAGGAAGTGAATGAAGCCAGTCCGTGTTGATAAGGCTTCCAAATTAAATTAAATTTGTCTGACAAATCAGCAGCTCTCGTTTACAATCATCTCATTCGGCTCGGTACTTTTCTTCTCTCAGTAGGGTTGTTCACAGCACACGTGATTTCCAGTTAGCTTCTTAGCTTAGCTCCCTTCACAGCGACATACGTCGCAGCCAACTGATCCAATCATTTTAAACTTCAGCAGAGCCCACGCCTCCTGCAAGAAACACTTCTCTATGCATCAAGTCCCCTTGTACGAGGCAAAGTGAAGGACAGGGTCTGGTTTAAACCAGGCTACTGATTGGCAGCACCCGGAGGTACCAAAAGCTCAAAACAAGTGTTGAAAGCAACAGCAGAGTAAGCTGTTTGACAGAAGAAGATTGGGCATGTTTGCAGCCACATAATCGGCTCTGCTCATCCCACAAATGCATGTTCCTTACAAATGTGGCACCGTATAATAAGGAATTTAAGAGACTTTCTGGTACAAGATTAATTACCAAGACACATTGTTATAACAAAGACTTAATCAACAAAACACATATTTCCTTACTTTTTGTRCAAAAATCTATTTTATTTTATTTTCCAGAATTAAGCACTTATGCTGTTCAAAACTGAACATTGACTGATCATTGATTGAAATGAACTGAAATTGAATGTTTCTATTAAATCAACAACACTGACCCAAATAACACAAATGATGCAGGTTTTCATAAAAAATGTTTGCTTTGCTGAAATGTCATACTCCCATAGTTTGAACTTAAACAAATTTGACAGTATTTAAATGAAAAAAAAAAACATTTAACAAAAAATATATATACTTGACCAAGCTGATTTAAATAGCATTTGGATCAGTTCTGGTAAATATATAAATTACATTAATAAAGTCTATAYATTTCATGCCATAGTTTTAAAATTAGGTCATTTTTAGTGAGTAATGACAAAGTTGGAGCCATTTCACGATCTCATGTGATATTGCATGATTTTGTGCAATCTATAGGCACTTATGTTTTGCAAAAAGACTATCAGCTACAAAKCTTATTTCAGTATTTGTTAAATTGACTTGAGTTGTGTTTGCTAAAGTCAACAAGCCGTAGTGTTCATTATAGAGTTTGTCTATTTTTAATGAACATATGTCATAATTGGATWACAGTAAATTATTTTTAGACCTTAAGCTAGGAAATATTCTGCTCTAAAGCCATGCAGATTGTTTGTCATCACATGTAGACTACACTTGTATTTCAGGACTGCAGCGCTCCCCCTCAGATGCTAAGCACCTATTTTCCATCGTTATTCCATTAATGCGATCAGTCCGTAATCAGATTGTGAATGAAATACCTCCAAGGCACAGTTGCAAGGGGAGTTTGGAAAGACAGCGGATAAAAAAAATTTGAAACGACAGAGTGGCTCCAACCATATTCCAGGCTAATCTGCAAACCCTCCCCCTGCTCATCCTCTGGGTGCTGAAAGGCAGAACTGGGTATGGATTTGTTTTTTCTGTTTTGTCTGTGAAGGACCCTCTTGTTCAAATGTAGAAAAGAAGACTTACAAWCCTCATTGTCCCTTACTACAGTTTTATTGAGACGTTTTCTTGTTATATTTCTTTGGACCAGTCATTTCACAGTAATTTATTGGCGTGTTTCTCTAAAACACAACTCGAAAAAGAGACTTAAAAAGGCTTTAAATGGTTAAAAAACTTATAAATTGTGAAWATGTTCATTTGTGCAGTTGTAAGATGAGCAGGGATAGATTCTGAAAGTGCTGGATTCAGTCGTTTGTCAGTGTGTGTTAAGAGCTAGCTGACAGGACGGCCACCTGTAGCTTTTAAGTCTGTGTGAAGGAGTGCATTTTATAGATACAGGTCTGTCTGAAGTTTTTGTGGTAAGTATTGCAAAAACTGAATTAAGAGGCTGTACTTTTTTTTAACAAACTGGTTTGGGCTGTAGGATAGAAGCAGCCTTCTTAAAGTCTCTGTTGTGTGTGTTACAGCCGTGACAGCGACCTCTCTACAATTATCTCCAACCTGCACCACACCAGACAGCACGGGATGCCCGAGGAACAGTCAAGTTCTGACCACATCACCGGTACCGGACACACAGGTAGGATGGAGCCGCATGAGAGTGCGTTTAAAGTTTTATCAATGTGCATGTGGGAGTCACCTGAATTAAAGGCGTTTTCCTTCTTTTCCTCCACTCTTCCCTCACGTTTAGGCTGATATATAGCCACCTTCATATCTCCTGTAACACATGTACATGTTCCATTACTTGTAATTAATTTGTTCAATTGAGGGAATTTAAGATAAGCTCATTACTCATTCCTAAAGGTCGCTCTTAAGTTGATTACTTAATGTTCTTCCAGATTCTCTGCCGCACTCCAGGATTTTTTTAAACCCCCTGTTTTAAATTACGTCTGAATAAATAGCTTTGTTTGCCTGTAATCCAGTTTCATACGAGCAGAGGAGCCATAGTGTGCATGTGTGCTATGCTAAGAGCTTTTCTTGCAGCTTACACTCAGGACACAGACTGCATTTCATTATGGTTATTTGCTAAGTAACTTGTTCGAGATTATTTTGTATTAAAACTTGTATAACATATATTATTTACTTCTAGATTATTTTCATGTACGCTGGATTTTTGTCTCCAGGAAATTTTATTTTGTAAGGTTTTGATTACAAATCACAATACTGAGAGATGTGGCAGTCAGAATGAGCTGATAATGATGCTTATCTATTACCACATATTATTTTAGCTCAATATTTGTTGAAAAGAGTTATTCATTTTATGCTGGCTAATGTTGATTAGCTGTGGTGGCCAACTTGAGTTGGATTTATTCCAAAAAGTTCATCAGTTGCAGATGTACTGTAYATCAAATGTATACTTTCAGAAAGTTAAACTTTGTTAGATGGTTCATGAGATATTTTGCTAACAGAGTTGAYTCCAAGTAAGTAATRGGAACATTTTAARCAAAGATCAGTCAGTGCTCAGAACCTATATTGAGCTTCASTCTCAGCTACTACCACTTCAACAAGCGGAACATGTGTGAAATTGATTGAACTACATCCAGTTGGTGTGCTCTAAGGTCATTTGGCTTTGGCATCCATCTTGAATTAGTTATAGATGTGCATCCAAAGATTTAATTTTAAATTTTTTTCTAACTTGTTTATTATTTTATGAGATACTTTGGTAACAGAGAGACACACAACTACTCACACACAGTCAGGGACATAAATATTGTTGCTCTGGCAGGAAATAATAAGCCAAAAAACTTTAAGATAGATTTTTAATTAGTAACCGAGGTGCCGTCTTTCCTGTGAGACCACACCTTTGCTCCAATCTTGGCCAAAGTCCGACTCTGTTCATTTTTATCTCATTAGCCAAAAGCACAGCAAGTGGCCTAATCACCCCAGACCCAACACCTCCAAACCCTCACCCTGTGGGCTCACCGCCTTTGTCTGCCAGATTAATTGTCCATACGGTGCCTGTGATATGAGGTAGGAGGGGTGGAAGGGGGAGGAGGGCATTAGACTGTTCAACAGCCAGCTCAGACAGTTTCTGACATCCCAGTTTTCGAGAAAGATTTCCACCAAACTTCCTTCTTAATCAGCGGCCAAACTTAATGGTGAAGTCAGAGAATGGTTTTCTTAACGAAGGAAGGAAATAAGTTGATATGTGGGGTGGATGTGGGGTGGTGTGGTGGGGGAGGGTGTGKGTGAACACAGCGTGCCCAACGCCGCGGGAAGTCCAAGACCCTAAAATCTGTCAGTTTGAGCATTAAAGGGAGATTTAACAGGCTGCCTAAGCGGCTAACTTTGTGTCTGTAAACAAGTCCAATCCGATCAGCCACTGGCTCTAATTCTGTCTGCAGTGAAATTAGACACACACACACACACATCCTCAAACACACAAATAACACACTGACATAAGGATGCAAACCTATACAAAATCAACGTGAGTTCTAAACTGGATCCGAGCACACAGGTGGGTGAAAAGTGTACGAAGATTTATTTTTCTTTTTACTTTTTGTACACGTTGTTTTGGCAGTCGGTTGAAGCTTTTGAGGAGGCAGGACAGGTAGATACTCTGGAACTGTGAGAGACGGACAAGAATGATGGAAGAAATATTTAAAGACAGAAGAAAGAGAGCAGAGAGTGCAGTGTTAGTATCAGTGGAGTAACTATGATGGTGCGTGGCATGTGTGTGTCTGTGTGTGTGTGTGCAGAGGTCAGGAGCAAAGGGAAGCAGGCTTGCCGGCTTGTCTCTGTGCTGGAGCAGGCCATTAATTAAATCTGAGGGACAGACAGGAGGGCTGCCTCCCTCCTGCTCTCCCATCCCTCGCTCTCTTCCTCCACAGCCACTGGCTATTCAGAGAGAAGTGGGAAGGAGGCGGGGGA